AAATTCTCCCTTGTGGTCCAAAGAATTTTGGTACTCGTATAAATTAAATTGGACAGATTTTTCTGTGGATGACGAGCATGCACATCAGAGAGCACTGACATAACTGGATTCCTGTATACTCGATAATAAAAAATGGTCTCACCAAGCCTGGACAACACCCTCTGCTGTGGACTGTCACTGTCCATGAACACATTTCCCACTGTCCACATTCCACGGCACACAAGACATTCCCACTGCTATTATTTCAGTGGAGCAGAACGTTAAAAAAGCAAAGGTTATTTTTTGCTGGCGAGCTGGGTTAAGAACTGCCTGCAACAGTTCTTTGGATGCTGTGTGGTGGGAGTGGGCTAAAAGCACCATTAAAGATGCAGCAAACACTGAAAGTGAAGCGCAGCCAATGACACTAAATGAGGCACCCTTATGTAAAAAATAGTATCAATTATATGAAAAGGCAATCTTAAGTGAGGGGAAAATAATACTTCACATGACCAGTTTCAGGTTGTAATTATTTACTTATTTGCTTTATTTGTATACCAAACCAAGTTCACACCCCAAGTGAAATCCACTGTGATATCAACTCACAATCCGTTTTAATTGAGTTTCTCTTATCTTTGTCTTTGAACATCAAAATATACAGACCTTCTCACCAAAAGCTATATATTAATGCAAAAAGGACTCGAGCGGTTTAGTGCAAGGGCTCCAACCCTGGTCCCGCAGAGCCCTCATCCATTAAGATTTATAGGTCCCCCATGATGCCTGATTTTAAAGGTATTGATCAGACAAGCAAGTTATTGCCCACCGGAGGACCATGTAGATTTATTGGTTACAATCTCTAAATAATTCAGTTTAACAAATGGCGTGGTTAATTGACCAGTCTTGATCTAACTCATTAGAAGTTGATTCATTGTTTTGTAGAATGTCTGCTGGACTGGCTGGTCCTGGAGGACCCGTAGGTCACTCCATCTTAGCTTTTAATTTAAATCATTCTAATTAACATAGTCATTTCCCTTAGATAACACACGGGGAATGGAAAATGCATAAGCTGTACAGAATAATATTTTAATGCATTCTAGCTAAATCTAAATGGTTGTATTCTACTGCTGTTTTTACTGTTTATTTTCAGGTTTTCATCAACTGTACTCTGAAGATAACACCAGTGAATTGCTTTCCTAATGCAGATGACAAAGCTCGTACGTATGACCAGTTAACCACCAGGTAAGAATACGGTTGTGAAGGCTGGGTACAAGCAGTCCCCTGCCAGACGGAAACAAAGGAGTTGTTGTGTGAAAAGGAGGAGAGGCTGCCTGGCCTTTCACTTGGCAGGAAAAGCATCTAATCTGCCTTGCTTCGAAAGATTTGTTGGGTTATATCAGATCAGCCGAGATTGTACACGTTCTTAAAACCAAAACAAACAAAAAAAAATCCTGACGATTGCTGATGTTTTTGTGTCTCACTACCTCAGACTCTGAAATGCTCATTAGTGCAATACACCAGTGAGCTCATCTTTTATCCTCCTTAGAGCTCGAAGCTTGCTGTGCACATGAGCGTGTTTAATAAAGGCTGCTTTTAGGCAGAGAAAGACCCTTGTGACTTTGGCTCTTCTTCGGCGGCTGGCTCTCGGTGGATGGAAGCAACGAGGTGTTAAAGTGCTGTAATACTGAGTGCCTGGACAAGAGGAGGTGGTGAGGTGCCTTGAGCCCTGCTCCAGTCAGAGGTTAGAGGCTTGCTGATTCACTGATGTTTGCACAAAGCCATTGTGTCAGCTTTCCGGGAACACCAAGTTACATCACAAGAGCTTCCCTTTCTTTCCTGCCTCAGTGTCCAGAAGCCTCCTGCTGGGCCCTATTGTCTTGACGGGCAAAGTCCAGAGTACAGAGTCACCAGGCAGGGGAACAAGGAAACCCACCAGTCGGAGTAAAGATTAATGTTGGAAACTGTAGATATGGTTAAATACAAATGTTGAGCTTGATAGTATTACAGACTAACCATCCATCCGATTTCGAACCACTTCTTCCAATTTAGGGGAGCCGGAAGCTATCTTTGCAAGCAAGGGGCACAAGACAGGTTACACCCTGGACAGGATGTCAGTCCATCACAGGATGCACAGAGCCACAAACACACATACACTCACACCAGGGCCAATTTCCCCAAAAGCCAATTCACTTTCCTAGAGGAAACCCACACAAACGCACAGAAAGCATACAAACTCCACACAGATAGCAGCCCAGGTCCACTTTTGAACCCAGGGCCCCAGTGCAGCAAGGCAGCATTGCTAAACATTGAGGCACCATGCCTACAGACTCATCAGTCTAAAATATTCTTGTTTACACTAAGAACAAACTATTATCAAAACAGGTTGAGTAATAAAGAGCACTTAAGAATAACTTATTTTGGCTGTTGGGTCTGGGGAAACTTGAGGTGAGAGACAACCTGCATCAGCCAGACATCAGTGCAGAATAAATCCCAAATCCATGTCTCCTGTTGCTCTCCAGCCCAGGTCCTGGAGGAATCTCAGCCCAGTAAGGATTGTAGGTTCCTTTAAATGACCTGTTCCTAAACATTTTAATCAATTAAGCTAATGATCAGTTCATCTAATTTGCTCATTTAAGGGAACTCTGGTCCTTGAGTGATCTCTATATATCACCCTACATAAACTGCTGTAGAAAACTAAAAATATTCTGCCTTCTTACATGCAATGAAAAGAGATACTGTATACCTCTTAATTCAATTTAGAGAGGAAAACAAGTGAACTTAAAAGTTTAAGCAATTATAAAACAAAAGCAATTTACTTTAACAAGAGTGAAAATTATTTTAAAAAAGGATCTTAGCGTTAGCAGAAAAACACCTGTTCTGTTTCCAGGTCCACCCCCCCCCCCCCAATGGTAATTCTGATTCTGAAGCGGGAATAACTTTACAAGTTAACCCTTTCACTGCACGCTCTATATGATTTAAACAAAGAACTGGTGTTCTACTTCTGATTCCAGAAGTGTCTCTTCTTCCCTTTTGACATTTTCAGATACATGTAGTAACAATGATTTCATTGGTGTGTGTGTGGTATACTGTAGCTGAAGGAAAGTGGAAGTGAGGTTGGCCTAATTACTGTCAGTCAGTGTCAAGGGTTTGGGCTGTGCAGACACTGCTTTCGGTTTTGAGTTTTAAAACCATCCCAACAAGTACAGAATAAGCCTAATCAGAGAGGACTGCATGATTCTGATGTATTTCAAATCGCTGCACAATTGCGTGAGTAATTGATCAAAACTGTTTTAGAGCTTTAAAAACTGAGTTAATGGTTGTTCACAAAATGTCTGAATGAAAAAGGGGTGTCCAATCCTGGTCCACCTCAACGTTTAACAATGTACATCATTTGGGGTTTAATTTGACACTTGAACACCACCTTCGAGCTCTTTGGGTGCCTTTTCTTTAAAATAAATCCTAGGAAACCTACATCTTCCCTGGTACAGCTCAAAGAGAATAAGACACCCCTGGGCTAGTCCTCACTCCTCAAGCAGACTTCATCTAGAACACACACTTCTCAGGCCAGATATTTCAGTTTCCCCTTAGCATCACATCATAACATACTCTGGCTTAGTTTGAGCAACACTTTAATGACCATATTCATTTTTAAGAAATTAAAAGTTTGACCAATTATGATCATTGCACTAGTTCTATTTTATTCTTGAGAAGAGCTTACACCCTTCTTTTTATCTGTATTTTCTCTCTTTACCCTATATCCATACTGATGTAGACACAGCTTCATTTTCTTGCAGTGATCCATTCCTACTTTACTTGGTGAACAGGACCCCACACTTAATATCTAACAGTACAGGAAATTCACATTCTTGACTACTTAGGCAGTCTCTCTCATTTCAGGTACAAAGGATCACCGCAGGGGCTCCAGCCTACATGTGATTATTGTGTATGTTACTGCTATCGGGATAACCCTTACGCTCTTGGTCTGTGTGCTCCTCTCCTATTGAAGAATTACTGAATAAATTGTTAAATCTCTAATGCAAGTTACTTTCATCTTAAACAAAGTAATATCATGGTGTCATTTGATCTTCCTCCAACCAATGTTTGCGTAGTCTTTCTTACCTCTCCAAGCAGCAAGCAGCTGTTTCAGGTCAGAAATGCCGGTCTGCTGTGCACAACTGACTCCTGGCCCTGCTAATACTAAGACTGCATTCTATTTGACTTATTTCCCCTAAATCATTACATTTTATTTGGGGACACGTACAGTAGAAATAATTCAGGAGAACAAAAGGGCAGTCCTACATTTGAAGATAAAATAAACGCCAGTACTTCTAAATTCTCATGAAGGCTTGTGCCCAAGAAGCACTGGCATTCTTCGGACACAGAAGGCAGCAAGTCTTCGAACATTGAAAAGGAGGAAAGAGCTTTTTGTTCTGCGCTTTTCCCCCTTAAAATCGTCCACTGACTCCATCTGCTGCCTGTCGTATAACCATTTACTACATTCAATGCATACTTCAAGCCCAACCATAAACTGGGACTCTCCACAGTATCATGTCCATATTCAAAAGAAAATCCTAGTAAAAATAAACTACAACTTTCCTAAAGATGCCTTAAACCCCCCTTTCTATAACACATCAGTAGAATAAAAGGTGAGGATCAGAGTAGAGCCAGTAAACCACTTTATCTTCCTCCTGTTATTCTGCAAACTACATGAAATAGTAGTGTTGCTCGCTAAAAACATGAAATGCAAGGAACTGTTCAAGTTAACACTTGGAAACGGTAGCCTATGCTATGCATCTTGTTCCTAATTCATGCCGGCAATTGTTTGCATTCTGCCACTGGATATTGGATGGGTGTACTGATTTCATGCATAAGGAAGCCACTTTGTACACCCAATTATCCCAGGCCAACAATGACTTGGTGGTCAATATGACCAACAGTATTAATACAGCAATAAAAAAAAAAACATATGTAATGTATGTCTTGGACTCATCCTAGCTTTAAAGGAAGCAGTTGACAAAATACAGGAATATTCTTTAAAGCTTTTTATTAAAGCTTGAAACACAAACTGAATTACAATATGAGATTCATTGGAAAGCTAAAAGTGCATTATTCCTGCCTTTCCACCCACCCCAAGACTCACAGAAATAAGAAACCAGATGTAGAGTTACATGAGAACTGAAATATTTTTTTATTTTAGATTCCGAGCAGTAGGTCTAGTATTATAGATATACTGTATCGATGAGTAGAACTGGAACAGAGATAGTGGATTTTCAGCTGCTTAAGACAACCCTTCACATAAATAATTTGTAGAATTCTAAAAATCTGTTTCAAAATATTCACAGCCACAAAAACACATGAACTTTTCAATTTCATTCATTTTCACAAAATTAACTTGTCCTCTGACTTTATTAGCAGTCTTGCAGATTCAGTATTGTAATGCTAATACATACAGATCAACCCAAGACAAAATATCTGAATGTAAGGAAAGCATTTGAGGGTTATGGTAATATTTCTTCTGGTAGAATTTCATGATTCAGCAGTAAAAGGGTGTTTTTTTTTGTTAACCTGCTTTGTTAACCTGCTTTACTTGTACTGTTTCATATTTCTCTTTAACAGCTGCAGGATGCTAAAGGCCAAGACACATGTTTTTGTTTTATATGCCTTCCACTGTCAGAGCCAACTTAAAACTCAACAGTACACACAGGTCTCCGCGTCTTTCAAAAAGAGAAAGTCCAATTTTTCCCACAGCATTACACAAAAAAGGTGTAGTGATTACGTTCTGTATATTAACACCTTCCTTTATTTTCAAGGCCAGGCAAGTATTAGCATCCTATATCATCTAGATGTTACTTATAATCTTTATCTGTATAGTAAATATTGCTTGTTAAATATGTCAATGGTAATACTAAGGTTACTGAACATTCACTTTATCCTAACAAATGATAGTTAAGATGCTCTAATGAATGAGTCAATTTTCCACAAAGAAACGTTTTGGTCAACAAAGTATTCTAATGTCATAAATAAGTACTTATCTCACACTTCATATATACAAAATACCGAGGCAAAATAATATAAACGTTTAAAAAAATAAGTGTAAGCCTTTCCTAAATCTATCAAAACACAGCTCATAGGAAATTTATTGGATTATGCCACAATTCATACAGTCCCAATTAAAAAGAACCACAATCTTTGCTATAACTTTTCTTTATCTTCCTGGTAAAAAAAGGAAATTATTCCAATATAATTTAGGACCACAGTAGTAAAACAGCAGTCTGGAAGTGCACTAACAAAACCTTAATCACCTACAATCAGGGTAATGTGGAACAGCTTGAAGGCTATTTACCTGTAAGCTTCTGAATGACAAGTTAGAATTCTCTTTGCATTCTGCCCAAGCCTAATACACAAAACCCAAGGCCAGATCAACTATTGTGCATCAGGCAACACTTTTAACTGTAAAAGGACACCTCCCTGACCATGAGATACATAAAGGTAAAAAACTTCACTTACTATTTCACTTACTCTCAAGCTAAAGATGAATGGATTTGGGTTTCAGTGACTGCAGAAGTATTCAGAAATGTATTTATTTTTACTTGACAGTCAAGATTGAAGTAGGAAATTGAGGGAAAAAAACAACTCAGAGTAAAATGTTTTGAGATACAAATGATGAACCATTACCTCAGAGAAAGTGTAATAAGTAAGTTTCCTCATATAATATTTTTTATCTTATACCCCTGAAACCCTTAAATGTTTTCCTTCAATGTATTTTAAGCAAAGGTACCATGAATAGTATACCAAGCTACTTACTGTAGCTTACTTACCCTACATTGAAAAATCAATATCGGAAGCGAATTTCAATCCATGCTTCCAATGAGGATTTATTTTACTTAACAGTTTTTAACGTAACGCTATCTGATTCTATAACTACATCATCCAACTACCAAACATCCTGGTCAACAATAAAGAAAAAAAATGCTGAATAATTTGTACAGCACAAACACTTAAAACATGGTTGAAGTTACAGAAGAAACAGTGGAGGTCTTCTGGCGTCAGCTATTGCTAAGTATGTCAACCACAGTCAACAGAATTCTGCTCTATAAGGCAACAGTGTGCGTGAAAAAACACATTTAAAGTTCCACCACTACAATCAAGCAATAACAATCAAGCCCAGACTCACTGAAACAAATGTACCACCTTGGAATTTTTTTTTAATAGTGCAATTTTGTTTACTCTCTCAAAGTATAATAAATGGGTTACATAAAGGGTTTCATTTTTTTCCCCTCCTTTGAAGGTGGGATGACAGAGTGAAACTGCTGACTTCATAAATGGAAAAACCTCCCTCTCTTTGTAGCAGCTAATTTCCAGAAGGGGGGGGTATTAACAGAAACAGAAGTTTTACAATTGGATCAATTTCAATTTCTCAGATATCAAAGAAACAAGAAACCTCTCTGCTTGACATAGGGGATAAATGTGAACAGGATTAAAATGAGCAACAGGAATTGTAACACACCCTTGATGCAACAAGCTTTTTTAGTCATGAACACTAAAGTGCCACTGAAAGGACAGGACGGAATTTAAATGTATATGAATTATTGAATTCTGACTCTGAAATCTAAATACTACATATGAAGTGGCTACAGTATGGATTTAATCATCTCCTTTGCCAGAGAGTATTGAAGTCACATTTTGGTCTCAAGTACAAAACACTCTATCAACAGTTAATGCACTAGAATCCTCAACTCCTTATATGAACAGAATTCAAAATTTAGCTTCTCAGCTTTGGATAGACTGCACAAGCTTTCAAAGAAAAAATCGAAATTAAAAATAGTTTATTAACGCCAGATTATTTTAAAAGCATAGCATAATCAGAAATAAATACCCTTGTTCTAAAAGCTCAAATATTCTGGTGTCACAAAATTTACGTTGTGAAGTAATGTGATCAAATTAAAGTCATTCCCCTCTCATATACAGTAAGGTGCCAAGAAACAGACTGAGAACCCCCCAGTATTGGTCAATATTCGTCTATGCCTAAATAAAAGATTAACATACTGTAACCTTAATAGACGTGTGAAAATACATTAAATTAATCGGACTGACTAATAACAATCAAACAGTATATTTCCTCAGGGGAAGAAGTAAGTGAACCTTAAATCCAGGAAACGATGGCTCCTCCTTTTGCAGCAATCACTTCAACTAGATGTTTTCTAATTTCCCTCACATCAACGTAAAGAGTATTGGCCTGTTTTTCCTTACAAAATCATCAGTTACTGAATCTTAGAGTTCACATACATATTCAGATTTGAATATATACTGTTGTAACATTTTGCTAAATAATCCAAATATATCTTATGTCCTGGTGCTAAACATTTAATCAGGTTAACTGTGGTCTAAAATGCACAACTTGTGAACCAAATTAGTGTAGAAAATGAGGTGTCTAGAAAGCTGTGACGTATAAGTGCTTGAATTTTTGTCATTTTTTATTATAGGGAGCAGTGGTACTTAATGCCCTATTCTTGATTTGACTGCCAACCCCAATGAAACCACTATATTACAACTTCAATAGAAAGAAAATAAGATCTACATTCTCAGATGCAATCGTGTCGTCTGCATGTTCTGTACAAACGGGAATCTTCTTTCATAGAATCAGCACCACACTAATACACAGAACACTTTGTGCTGCAAAAGAAAAAAAAAACAGTAAGTTTAGACATTAACATAAGAAAGGTTAACCATCTGGCTTAACTAAAAAAGCCTTTGGGATGTTAGACGTTCACTTTATCAAAGTATCTCATCCAGGCATTTTTTTAAAACTTTAAACAGAATGACAATAACCAATGTATATACTACTGGGTATACTGTACGTTCCAGACAAAAACAGATACAGACCCTCTAGATTTAGAATACAGATACAGACCCTCTAGATAGAAGAAAAACTCATATTTAAATATTTATGGATTAGTTAATGTATCTTCCTTAGAAGAAAAATATTAAATATTTTGGATTGTCATTTTAGTAGCATTGCAAATGATTCGCATTTTAAGCAAGACATTGTCCAATAATTAATTCTATAACATTTTTATGTACCTATTTCATCAGTTGTATGAGTAAATATTTCAGTTTAATAGCTCTGCCATTTATATTTGTTTGACTACCCTCATAGTAGGTACATTCTACCTATGAAGTTTAAAGCAGTAACAGTGGTCCGTCTGAATTTCTTGGAGTCTGGAAATTCACCGTATTTAAAATCCTGACTGCTACATGTCCAACCACTCTGTGACTTAAATTTATCCCACAGCACTTCAAAGGTTGGCAATCGATCACATTGCCATCATACATAGTTGTACCCATTGAAATATGAGCACAGAATTAAGGTATCCAGCATATAAAGAAGCACAGCATTAAATCTTATAAAAATGAATTGGCACACCACACCATAAGTATACAGTACTTATACAACACTGCATGACTACAGAGACAACCAGTGACACCAGTGTCTATTTACCGAAACATAAAAACACAATGTTGAGTAAATGGAAGCACTGTTCTGTAAAAAATAAGATGTACAGTACATTAGTAATGCAGAAAAAAAAATCTTTAAAGGCCTACTTTTATCTGACACTACAACATGATGTAGCATACGATTAACTAAACACTTGTCCTGATTAAGACAGATAATCGGTCGGTCAGGGTTAATAACCACATTTGGGTTAATTCTCCCAAACTAAATTTTGCTATGTTTTAGAAGAAGTACTTGGGGAGTTTACACTGACAAATGCTGCCCATTCAATCACTGCAGTGTTGTATTTATGAGGCTCTGGTAGACACTTCTAACCCTGAAAGCCAAAAGGGATATTCATGGGTGTGGAGACACACAGCTCAGATAATTGCAAGTTATTTGCCCATTGTATGGATCAGAAAATAATGTATTTTTAAGCAGAGAAAATAGAACAGATTTTCTAACCTAGGCACATTTTACATATATCCATCTGCTCTGTTCACAACTTTTCAAACAACAGAGGCAGAACTGTTGAAAGAGAGAAAATTATATGTTTAAGCATGGACACCACAGACACATAAATCAGTAGATACCTGATCAAGAATCTGAAATTATTATTTTTTGAAACTCTTCAATATTGATCTTCTTGCTGTTTTTCCGATGTGTGGTAATAGCTATATGTTGAAAATAAAGCAGTAAATAAACATTCCTCTTGCATTTCAAGTCTGGATGCTATGGATAAAACCTTTATAAGCAAAACCTTGCATATTTGTTGATGTTAACTAATGCAACAACTAAGATGCTTTTAAACAGTGGCTTCAGGTACTTAAATACAGGAGCAGACTGTTCTTTTCAATTATTTTAACAGCAATTCTGTAAGACAAAATAACTTTTCTACTTAAAAGGACAACAGTGATTAGTATTTACACTTCTATATTCCATTAACCCCATCCCACAAGAAACATTCTGCAAATTTAAGAAAATGCCACTTTGCCATCCCAAACAAATCTTTAAAGCTTCTTGCTACTTATACAACTTGAAAACATGAGAGAGTTAACACTGGCATCTTTCAAAATGTGAATAATTACAATTATAGTTACCTTAATTACATTTTAAAATGGCAATATAGTGCAAATACAAAAGGAATTTTAAAAACATCATCATTGTGAATGTCCACTTCTAAAGTTAGTAAGAGTGTGCTCCAAACACATCTGGGTACAAGTGAACTTAACAGCTATCCCAACACCTAAAGAGCAAGCTTCGTGCACTCACAATTCTGCAGTAGTCAACAAGACAAAAGCACCAATTTCAACTACAACTACATCAAACTAGAGGTTTTGGCAGATTTGTAATTTGTAAGTATTCAAGTCAATTTAATACTTCAGCTGGTTCTATTTTTTGTCAAGTTATTATTACTGCTCTATCTATGGAAACACACATACTGTAAGGTGTCTGTTAAAAGAAATTTCTAGATGAGATTTGCTGCTCCTTCATTTAAGGCCTTCATCTTTTTTTCTCGTAATTAAGACGTCTCATAATGGCAGCTGGAGTTAAATAAATTGAAATTTTGTAGTACAGGCTGACACACCGAATACATTTTCCCAATCTCAAGGGGCGTACCCCTTGCACATCTTCAAGATGGCGTTTTAGGCTTTCCAATCTCCTGTCCATCCTGTTCACAATATCTCTGATCTCTGAAGAAACACTGATGATACATTGTAAGGGTACTATCTTGGTTAATTTCACAAAAGTACCCAGTGTGAAAGGATCCTCAAATTATAATTACATGTCTGGGAAGCACAGATATTAGCTTGAACAGAAAATTAGATAATGCTTTAAAATTTATTTTGGGGGAGCAAAATGAGAATAGTAAAAAGGTTGAAACCACATGCTGTTCCCTGGTATGTCTGTATAGTGGCCACCAGCTATTCAGACATTCCAATATAGACTTAGAAAAGCAATAATTTAAATTTGTACAATTATGTACCAAATTAACCAATAACCTACTAGTAATAAATTGGAAACATTTGTTTTTATGTCAATTTTAGCCAAAAGAACTGTTCAGCTACAACAGAAAAAAGTCAATTTCCAGAGACAGTCATCAGTCATTCTAGTTGAAGACCTTTGAGACATATCAGTGAACGTGGTTCAAAGACAACATATATGTCAGTTAAACAAGTTAAGAGAAAGGGCATTTGTTAAGCCTATACAGCAACCAGAAGTCCTGCAAACAAAAAAAAAAAACAGGTTCTCCTAATTAGGACCAAAGGTAGAGAAACAGAAATTGCTTCCTACAAGACATAGAACTAGTCTCTTTCTAGCTTTTTCCAAATATTTTCACTTTTATCTTTAAAGTGAGTAAACGGATAAACCTTGCAATGAAATAAATATCCTGAGTAAAATTAATTTGTAACGCACCAAAAAGAGAATAAAGGAGGGCACAGTAGCGGTATAGTAGTGCCCACAGTTGTGACTCACTCCTTTCCATGGTACAACATGACCAAAAACATCCTGAGACTCATCCCTTTATTTCTTTATGGGGCATTTTGGTTATAATTTCTTCTGTAGCCAAGGGATGCACTGTAATCCCCAATAAATGGGAAATTACCTTGAGCATTAATGATCATTGAACTTGTATTGAACAGTTCACAAGCTGGCTAGTTAATAAGGTTATAAGTCATGATTTTCACTGTAATTACATTGCATCAAAAACCATACAAGGTTACCGTGCACCTGAGCACTGCTCTGAAAAGACTCCCTGCTTACTACTCAAATGAACCGCAACTCACAGCACAATTGCTGACATGACAGTCTCATGTGCTGCTGACTTTAAGGAATCTTAAGATATTTGAATTCAGTGGTGATAATAGCAGTTAATACAATATTGTTAAAGAAGACTAATTCCATATCCTAGAAATGCTTCAGAAAATAAATCTAGTCAGACATTTGGCACGAGAAAAGCCTATTTGATAAGCTCATTACTTCATACCAGCCATAAGATAGGTTCCCCACCTTCACACTGAAGTTTAAATATGACACAGAAGTATCCAAACTGACAGCAGTGTTAGAAAGTTAAGAAGCCCGTGTAGACAGTGAGCACCATGCAAGCTTGCACAGACAACTGCAGCTCTACTTAAATACTGAGTGATCTCACCCTTCCTTCTTTTTGTGACGCCAGCATAAAAAGCCCCCTGCTAACAATACTGTCAAGGAAAAGGAGAGAAGGGATAATGAAACTGATGTCTTTTCACATGTCGGAGCAATACTTCTAAAGGCAGTGTTCGTTTGCACAAAATGGGTCACGTGTATAATTACCTGCAGTGAACTTTCCAAAGTACAAAGAGAAAAACACAAAATGATGTTCTTTTACGAACTGCTAAGATGTAACTTTTTTACCATCACTGCTTCTGAAGAAACTTTAGAGATGTACTGTATACAACCCCTCCTTCAATCATTGGTAACGTGGTTGTTCACAAAGGAATGGTCTGATAACCTGTCCGTGCTTTTTGCCCTTCCCTGAACACAACACTTCCTCTGTGTTCTTTTCCTCCCCTACAGACAACCGACAATTACATTGAAAAAACAATTTTACCTTCACATCTGTGAATCCTTCACACACACAGAGAATTCCTGTTACATGCACACATACGTTGCTGGCTTGTAGTTTTTGGTACTGCCCAGTAACAACAGTACCTACTACTTTAGTACAGGAAATCCGTCTTATTTTCTTTACAGAGTAGCAGCTTCAGCAAAGCAAAGTAGTACATTTGACATTATTTTCACTCTTTCATTAGTCTCAGCATGAAATAGTTCTGATTTTTTTTTAATTTTTATCCTTCATCTTCCAGCTCATTCATCAGATGCAAATCATGAGTAGTGTTTACTTCTTAACCTCACTTTTCTTTCTTGCGTCAGATGTTTTTAGACACTTTTCTCTGCACATTTCCAACCTACATCTTGAAAATCACAGTACAATCATAAAAATGATGTTCCGAATCTAATCCTAACTGTCTCTTTATTCAGGGGGCCACTTGTCTATTCAAGACTAAAAGGAAGAATAGAGAGGGAACTCCATCATGATGCATGTGAATATAAAGTATAACAGAGTGTGGAGAGATAGGAATATAGTTTTTGGAAACAAAAGCAAAAATAAGTGAAGCAAACTTTCACCAACACTCCAGGAATTCAAGTGGCATCTATCCTCCTGATTTCAGGTGCTTTCCAAAAGAAAACCATATAAAATATCCTTTTTTCACATCGTTTAAGAAAGGAGCTATTAGTAACATCAGTATTGTGAAGCTGTAATATAACAGCTCCCTTTCACAGATATCCAATCTACCCATCATAAAGACTTTACTGAACTGTCACTATCACCTTACTTACCAAGTGCAATCAGACAGCCACCAACAGACAAACCAATTGCCCATGCCTTGTCTGAAAAAAGTTTGTAAAAATATTTGTTAGCAAATCAATTAATAAAAAATGATACAAATATGATACTTAAAAAAACAATATCAAAACTTAAATTTGACTTACTTCGTTGATCTTCTAGATCATTATCTAAATAATAAAAAAAGGGACAAACATTACAACAGTGGCACTTTACTACAAAATGTTTAGAAAATTAAGTAGGATAGCACATCATCTTAAAAACAGGAACCAGGATAGTATTTTTCTACATGGTCCTAAAGAGCCACAGACCTGATTTCAATTTTACTCACATTCTTCAGTGACTAAGAATAAGAAATATCTAAAAGGCTTATTAATCCAATAACTGGACTAATGCAGACTGAACTTTAGAAAGCAGACATTTCAGAATGAAGAGTTGATCATTACAGTGACTCCAAGTTCAGGGTGCAGCAGAAGAAAATAAAGGTAGAAGCATTTTATAAAGGTAACATTAAAGCAATTTTGAAAGCTTATGAATGCCATATTTTCTCATGCATTAGCAAGCGATGCAAACTACCACAACATCTGTAATCCTACACATGCATCATACAATACACGGCATTAAAACACTTGAATTTTGAGACTGTCATTGTGCCATGAATATCCTTATGCATTGTTTTAAGTACATAATGGAAAGTGCTGAATTTCACAGTACAATCTCAGAGCACCCAAATTAAGTTGCATTTCATTAAGAAAGGGTACGATTCCATTTGTGACTTTGACTTGGATAATGTCATCACATAAAAGTACACCTTAAAAAGACCAAAAACAATTTAGGTCACTTCACACCTAAATGACTTTCATTTATTAGATGTATTTAATTCTGATCTAATTAAATGTCGGAATTTTGGCATTGCAATAATTAATTTACAAGTAAATTTGAAAAACTGCACATTGCAAACAATTTTAAACCCAATAGTACTGGTAAAAATATCTGTTCAGTGAATTTTGTTATTCTTAAATCACCGAATGGCAACTTGTACTGGTACAACCTAATAATTCTATCAAATAATCCTAAACATTATCAATTTTAATTAAGCTGTACACAAATACGGCTTGTAGCATTAACAAATTAAGTACATTTGTGGTGATGGAGACAACCAAAAATCCAGGGTTGATATAAAAATACTTCAACAGACAGCTAAAAGCAAAAAAATCTGCAGTGGAAAAAAATTAACAGACATGAAAGGATTCAGACAAAAACTGCCTGAGCCTTTAGCAGAATGTGAGATTGTTTTACGAAATAGTGCTAAGTTTTACAAGTTACCAGTATTTTTTATGATGGGAGATGTTCCTCTGCTCGTTGTTACAGTAATTGGTCTTGTAGTTGAAGAGACTCCTAATATTAGGGGAAGCCAAGAAAAATGACATAAATCTCCAATTTGAGATTATGCTAGTAGCAGAAACGCTATTGCCTCGACTACGCTTCTAATTAACGGGAATGCAGTCCATGGTCTCGTGTTCGAAGATTTTTAAGCTTAAAGGGGGAGATCCACCTGTATTTGGAGGAAATACAACCGAAAATGAATCAATCAAATGTAGTTGGTCCTCCCACTACACCTGGTAGGACTAGGAAAGATAAAGGACACTTTTCTGTTCACACTCGGACTATGCTGGATGAGATAACAGGCCACAGGTCGGGTATGTGGCCCTGTAAAACGTTTCTCCTAGACATTATGCAGTTTTAGAGATGTGAACTGTCAAAACACTGATGGCCACCGAGCAGCTAACGGCGTTAAAGACTGATTTCGTAAAGTGACGATTGAGCCACAAAAAAAAAAAGACTGTCGTGACCAACATCGCACATCTCTGGTGACGTACGAAAAATTATAGTCTAATGTGTCAAAACCCACACACCCAAAGAAGGCTCCACAGCCAAAAGTTGTTTTTCTCTTTTCAGCATGGAATAAACCTTTGCAGCCTATACCCACTTGAACTACTAAAGTCTAACAATATGCATGTCTTAACTCAAACTGCACTCTTAATGTGTATACTTAATAAGCATTTTGAAAATTGAAAAGTGGCTGTGGATATTCCTTAAATTTTCACAATAGGGTAGGATTTATTTTTAATGTGTATGTTTATTATTTTTTAATATGTTTTCTGGGTTTCACAACCCAGAAAACATTAACAACTAGAGACTGCAATGTGAAAATACTGCAACAAAATTGTACAACAGATGTACTGAAATTCTTAATAAAGGTGACAGAAAAGATAAATTACATGGGATTTGTCCAGAACCGTAGCCAAGACGGTCATATAAGTAGAAAATCGTTCAATATTTTAACATTGTAAAATCTCTCCGAACAACTTTCACCAAGTCTTTAACATACACACAACTAAATATAAACATCAGACTCAATTGATGACACAGTGACATCCTTCTCATTCTTTTATGATTAATTAGGTCAAGACAATGCTCAGTTATTACTCAGAACAATACCAACCATAAAAAGCAAAAATTAAAAACCTGTTATTTTGATTTGGGCAAGAATTAGTAAGATTCATACAACACAGACTGACAATAAAAGAAGATTACCGGATTCTGTTGATGTGGACCGGGTTGGCGTCGTTGTGGTAGGAGCAGCAACTACGATAAAATAAATTAAACAATAAAATCACCCATATCTAAATTACATATGAGCATACTGTACCAGATATGTACCAATTCTAAGAGACGTTATTTTCCTAATGTAAAGGATTTTTTAACATTTAAATCAAGCTGAAGTAAAGTATCCCTTTAATTTAGTGAATGGTAATACACACGTTCTTCTACATTCACTTCAGTTGCAAATACCAGTGCTTTAACTATCAAAGCATCCGCTTTCTTCGTAGTTCTGCACAAAAAGGGAAGATGGTGCAGGAAAAAGTTTTAGAATGACACTTTGGTTGTTGTGGCTTATCTTTGCAGGGAAGCAGTCACACTCTTCAACCATATTCAATTAAACAAACTGTAAATCTTTAGAGAATCAAGTAGCTAGTATTGATGAAATACTGAAGTACTACAGCTAGATGTGGAAGACAAGTTAATGAATATCGGTTGCTCTGTTCCATAAGCACAGTGGCCCAGAAGTGCAAAACAAAGAAAAACAAAGTGCACAAACAAAACAGCAACACAAAAAAACAAAGAGTGCACAAATAAAAGTGTGTTCAAAATGGAAATAGGTTCTCACTCACGATGGACATGACATTTGTTGTTAGGTGAGAGGGCAGCGCTGAGTGGAGTGCACGTGTTGAGTTCTTGGTAAAGATGTTTTTGTGAATCTTCTAAAGTATTTTTAAAAACCACAACAGCAGGATGTTCCATCCGTTTTGTCGAGGGGCAGCTTGGTGAAAACCATTCATTTTGGCCACATTATGCGAAATCTGTAGGTTGCCTTCGTCATGAAAACCTTGAAGGGGCTCCAGGGAGTAATCATGTGATTTCAGGTCGTTATGCTGGTCCGGTATAATCCGCAGCATTAACTGTTGAAATACTGTGGAAGAAGTATTTCACAACCTCTTTTGTTCTGCTAGATCAAGAGAAAACCTCCACATTTCCCCAGTTCATCCATTTCAGAGACCAAAAGTGACAGGAAAGATGTCCAACAAGAAAAGCGTTAAATCAAATGCGCAAGCAAATCCTACTTATTTCCTGTAATGTGGGCAAAAAGAATGGTTTTCACCAAGCTGTCCTCCACAAAACAGACAACATCCCACTGCTGTGGTGTTTAACATTTGAGAAAATTCACAAAAAAGTCTCACCAAGAACTCAACATGTGCACTCCACTCAGTGCCGCCATCTCACCTAACAACAAATGTCATGCCCATTGTGAGAACCGATTTCCATTTTGAACACATTTTTCTTTGTGCACTCTTTTTTTGGTTATATGTTGTGTCGTTTTTGTTTGTGCGCTCACTTCTGTTTTTGTGTTTTGCATTCCTGGGCCACCGCAGATATGATCTGTAACTTCAGCACTTTACTCCACTGTGTGTCACGCCACACCGAACAATTAATTTCCATTCTGCTTCTTTACTTATCTTCAGACAGATTTTGGGGCACTTTTGTGCAAATGACAAGGGTGGCCAATTCATAGCCACATACACCCAGAACAAGACAATTCGCAACAGGACAAGTTTTACCAAGATGTCTAGCCTTTCAGACAAGCATTTCTTCTAATAAAAAGGAATGTTAGGAATTAACTTCTATGCAGATGATACTCACATCTACACCACAGCTGACCCTGAAGTATTTGCTACATGACAATTTTGAGCATCTTAACCGAGATAAGACTGAAGGCATGTAAGTGGGTTCCCCGCACCAGTTATGTAAAATCAAAGCCGTATCCTTGTGGAAACCAAAAGCTTTGTTGCTCACGTTGCGATCCAAAATGAAGAACTTGAGGGTCAGCTCTCAAGCTTTTCAAGACTTTTGAACGTCATGCGCATAAGACTGCAAAGACCTAGGTAACATTTTTAAAATATAAAAACAATATCCTATCTTCACCCAGCCTTTCAAAGGTTATTATATCCTCCTTCATGCAGAAGTCTCCAAGACTACACTTGAGTAACGGTAGGCAGAGTCACATGACTGCTGTTCTGGAGCCCTGATGGGAAGACAATTTAAAAATCCTTCTCCTGACATTGAAGGCCGTGCATGACGTATCTAGCTAGTATGTGTTAATTCCATCAACACGACCTTTGATTAGACTGCTCATCTACACTTTGTGAGTGACTGGGCCCTTTGTTGTTGCACCACACAAATGAAAAAATACCACCCCCAGTGAGACTCAGACACATTGGGTCCTTATAAGTATAACCTTAAAACTTGATTTTTTGCAACCTCCATTTTCTTGGCTTTATAGTTTTCATCAATTTCATTGTGGAAATAACCCTTTATTAAATATCTGCCTCTACCATCAAATCACAAAAAAGTATTTTGAAATCATGTCAGCACTTTCCATTACACACCTTATATAAAGGAACATCACCTGCACCCATCTGGGATCTGAACCCAATTCTTCTTTATCTCCATTTAGCAGGACCAACCAGCAAAGGAGAGAACTCACCTCTGTAACATGTTGGAGGTTCAGAGGACCAGCCATTGACTCCACAGGTAATGGTCAAGGTGCCATTCACTTTGTGGCCAGAATCACATTCAAAGGTAATAAAACTTTTGTATCCATAGGGTGGCAGTCGTCCTGATACTTTTTTGCCATTTGTAATGGATACATCAGGGCATGAAACAACTGTAAAATAAAAAAGTAGTTTTAGCTAAAGTCCCTAGATGGCAGCACAATCCAATTGCTGTATTATTTCTAAATAGGTACTGAAATGCCTGATTTACTAATGAAACAAAATGGCACTGTTGTGCCATAGCTAAACTCTGTTGAAAAATATCTGACTAAAAACCATGAAAGGGGGAACAGTTCTGCTTTCTGCAGAAGGCTTCTGGTGATGACTTCTCTACTTTCAATGAATAACACTTAATGGGCATTGTGCTTCTGTTGAATCCCAGAATCACAGGGAGTAATGAGCAGGAGTAAAGTTTAAGGTAAAGCTGGGTGAGGTGCACTGCCTGTCCATATGCTGTTGCTGTCGGCAAGACCCAGGTGTATCTCAATCAATCGGGGGGGGGGGATCACAAAATTAAAGTTACAAAATAAGGTTACATAATACCATGTAGTCATTACAGGTGATTTGCTGAAGGAACTGCAGCATGGCTATTTAGCAGTCTAATTGCCTGGAGGTAGAAGCCGTTCCATAATCTGTTAGTTTTTGACTGAATGCTTCAATACTGTTTGGTAGGATGGTAGGATAGAAAACAGGTTGTGACTGGGATGACTGGGGTCCTTGAGAATTGACCTGGACTTCTTAAGACATCTAAAAGATGTCTTAAAACTGCTGACCCTCTCCACTGCAGTCCCATTGATATAGATAGGTGTGTGATTTCCTCCCTGGTGTTTCCTATGATCAACAATCATCTCTTTAGTCTTACAGATGTTCAGAGAGAGGTTGTTTTCCTGGCACTATGCTGTCAGGGTTTCAACCTCCTCCCTGTACTCAGACTCTTCACCATCTGTGATCAGGCCGACGACTGTTGTAACGTCCACAAACATAATGACGGAGTTTGAGTTATGCCTGGCGACACAATCATGGTTAAATAAGGAGTAGAGGACAGGGCTAAGCACACAGCCTTGGGGGGCTCCAGTGTTAAGAGTCAAGGTAGAGGATATGTCGGTGCCCACCCTCGCCACCTGTGGATGTTCTGTCAAGAAATCCAGGTGATCAGTCCCAGGTCCTGGAGCTTGATGACAAACTTTGAGGGCACTATGGTATTGAATGTAATCAACAAACAGCATTCTCGCATATACTGTATTCCTTTCTTATGCAGGTGCGGGAGGGCAGAATGGAGGGCAGTGGCAATAGCATCCTCTGTTGACCGTTCTGGCGATACGCAAATTGTAGTGGGTCTAGGGTGTCCGGCAGTGAGGAGGTGATGTACTGTATGCTTTGATTAGCCGCTCACATAGCACTTCATGATAACTGATGTGAGCGCAACAGGGTAGTCATTCAGGCAACTGACTCTGGGTTTCTTAGGGACAGGGACGATGTTGGTTTTCTTAAAGCAGGAAGGAACTATAGATTGAGCTAGAGAAAGACTGAATATGTCCGAGAAGATACCCGCCAGCTGGTCTGCACATGCCTTCAGAACATGGCCAGGGATAGCATCAGGGCCAGGAGCCTTGTGTGGATTGTTGGAAAGTTTTTAAAAAGACTTCACACACATCCGCTCTGGATATGATCAGTGAGTTTTCATCATGTATTTCTGGAATCCTCCTGGCTGGATCTGTTACTGACCTCAAACCCAGCATAGAATGTATTTAGCTCATCAGGAAGAAAGGCAGACTGTTGTGCGATATAGCTGGGTTGTGCTTTGTAGTCTGTAATGGGAGTATACCACTCCACATATTCCATGTGTTGCAGCCATGATAATATGACTCTAATGTAACTCTATAGTTGTATTTAGCTATCTGGCTGGCTTTCCTGAGGTCGTTTCTGGATTTTTTGTATTTATCCATATCGCCAGAATTGAAAGCAGCTGTCCTAGCTTTAAGTCACCATTTACCCACGGTTTCTGATTTGGTTATGTGCGAAAAGTAATCCTGGGAACTACGTCTTCAAGGGATTTACTGATGTAGCCAGTAACATAGTCCGCATACATACTGATATTATTTCCGGCAGCTTCACGGAAAATCTGCCAGTCAGTGTTAGCAAAACAGTGACTTAATATAAAATTTGATTCACCCGACCAACGTTGAATGGTTCTTAACACTGGCCTCTCCTGTTTAAGCTCCTGTTGTATCTCTGTGTAAAACATGCATAAACTGTATTTACTTTACCATCTCTGGCCTGCAGTGAATAGCAGGCTGTACTTCAAGAGCTAACGAGTGCATGAAACTCAACCATGTGTAAAATAGATACACAAGATCACGGCAAACAATATACATCCATATATAGTACATTTCTCAAACTACGAATGATTATACTTAATTAACTCATTTACAATTTAAATCAACCTGCTGATCAAAATTCATATGAATGATGGGCCCCAATAACATTTTTGTTTTTCATTAGAATAAAAAAAAAATACACATCATACCTTTACACTGAGGAGGTGGTGGGTTATAATTCCCATCTCTACCACATACAATCTCTTCTTCTCCAATCAAAGTGAAGCCCTTATTACAAGTGTATCTGAATGCACTCCCATACGGAACACTTCCACCATAATAAGTATGCGTCCCGTTCCCAATGTCAGGAGGTTCTTCACACTTGACAACTGAAAGAAAAGAAGTTCATGTTCATCAAAACTTTCATCAAGGTTATGAAGAGAGAGAATTGCACAGGACTTTCTAAATATCAGACTCATCCTAAACACCCATAACAACCTGTAAGTAATTTATCTCACAGAGCTTCACAGAGCAATTCTCATTTCTATCCTTCCACACAAGGGGCCTTTGGAGTCAGAAATGCAAATTTACCCTTTACCTGTTTAAACATCAGTTGCAAAACAAGGAATAAAAAACTCCTTAAGTTTTATTTTTTTACAATTAGCAGCCCATGGTCTGTGCTGGCCTTTGATAAGCTACACTGCATATTACGAAATCAGCTCCAAAGTAGACACAAAAACATAAAACAAACACAAAAAAGGACTACATGTTTTCATTGTTGTGCTGCATTGATAGAGCTCTAGTAAGCTTATGGGAAAAGTCCACTGGGTTATTAGAATAAGACACAACTAAAGTAACTTAAGAACAAAATTAAAAGACAAAATCTATTAAAACAATTGATTTGTACACAACTAAAAAAATACCTAAGAAAAGCTAGCTGGCCTCAGTACAACTTAAAATTTTAAATGAGACTACTAATTTCTTTGCCCATGAAACAATTTAAATGTAAAATATTACATAAATACTTGAGACTTTATAAATTTGAGTACATCTGTTTGTACTGACACCTAAATTCCACAACCACAGCAACTTAAAAAACACAGCTCTAATACATTAGACACAAAAATAAAAACAAAATGCAACTCTAGTAGACCTGAATTTGATTATGTCCACAAAAACAGCCATAAAATAAAAATTAATATGCTGATCGCAAAAAATGTAAAGGATGTTTTAGTTAAAAATATCTGCATAAAATGGATTCCTATATTTTCCATTTTTTACTTAAAGATCAAATTAAACATCATGCTTTATCATAAATGATTTGATAACAGATTAAAAAATGAACTTTTACAAATGCACTGAGCAAACAATACATTAAGTATGAAATGTATTAACTGCTTATCACAAAAAAACATATTTCATATTTTGATATTTTTACCAGAGACAATGACACTGATGACAGAAATAAGACTGAATTTAACAGAAGACCACAGTGAAGACTTGCGTCTATCAGATCTCAGACTCTAAGCAGGACTGGGCTCCTGAGATGATACTGTATATTCTTGGGTTCTCTCAAGTGAAACATTTCAAACCACAGAAAGCAGCCACAAACCAGCTTCCTGATTGAAAACCATCAATTTACAATGACTGTGGAGTAGGGGTCTCCAACCATGGTGCTGGAGAGCTCCAGTCCACTGAGTCTGACAAGTTACCTGTTTTTAAAGATTGGCTACACCTGTATGATCTTCACAAATCAAGCAACCAAACTGTTTGAATTGAGAGCTCTCTGGTCCTCAAGGGACAAAGAGCATCTGGAGTTTCATCTAACCTGTAGCTGAACAACTGTTTAAGAGATTAAACCAGAATTGTTAGCTCCGATTCAAATAAACTTATAAATTATCAACGTTACAGAAAAAGAAACTTCCACAAATGTAGCAGAACAGCTCAATTTGCAAAAACAAAAACACTGTGGGACTCTACTGACCAACACAGGCAAATAGGAATTATTGCATCCAAGAATCATATCAGCCACCCAAAGCACTCAAATTCCTTAGTGGCCGCTTAAAAACCCTTTGTTTCTCCAGAAACAGGGTTTGTAAATTCTACAACACAGGCTGTGTAATGCTCTGCATATCTGACTAATATGGTATGAACTATCAATATACAGGTATTTCCAACCACTTCTTTTACTCACGGTGACATTTCACTTAAGTTTTCCTTTAATTTTCCAAATTATCCCAACCTTTCAGGACAGCAATTGCACAACCATGTCCCCTTTGTGGGAACAGTAACAACTACAAAAAGAGAAGCATTCTATTTTTACTACAAAGTTGAATTCAGTGGCTTCCTTCCTGTCTAGTGTTCTAAGCCAAACAGGAGTAGTGTTCTGTAAGTAAATCAAGATACACACTAACCAAAAACCTTAATCTAAAAGTATATGAATGTCCATGACAAAAACTTTGGGCTCAGCTTGCTTATCTTCTCAATCCTGTATAGATTCACTATACATCCCAAAGTATAAAGCAAAGATGTTAAACAAAGTCATAGAAACCTAAGTAACTGGAGATAAACCAGAGCAAATCATGTGGTGGCTGCAAAAGTATTTGGTTCTATGAAAAGTATTTGACCCTTTTAGAGACAAAGTTTATCTTATTTACCCTCACAAAGAGGAACGTTCGAACTCCAGCCATTAGCGAAGCAAAGTCTTTCTCTGCCCACCAACTGGTACCTAGAGACAGTGAAAAAGATCACATTTTTATCCACGGCCCTGATTTCCCAAAGGCTGCCCAATCACAATCCTGCTCACGCCGCCGGTGGACAAATGCATACAATGGATACACGGTTGCTCAGGACTCAAACATGTTTTTAAAATACTCATTTTTTATTAAGTAGGCACACACATTTTTGGCATCCACACAAAATTGCATCAGGATGATGAATTCTAACAAATTCTAAGATATGAGTACATAAGTAACCCAAACAGCAGGCAAAAAAATATATAATTGTAGCAGTGTTCTTACATATTGAAAGATTGATGAGATTTAAAGATAACTATAATCCTTTTCTCACCCTTTCCTTTGTAGAAATAGTAGTCAGATACAAATTCCAATGGATAAGACTTACAGCACAGGACGTGCATTTTAAAAACATAAGAAAAATTAACCTGCCCAAAGATAAACAAAAATACAACTTGATGACTCTTTCAATAGACAGCCTTCAGTTCTTTAGGATTCTGTTGTGGCACAAACTTGAACTCACCCTTCATCACAGATGACTCTAGCTTTGGCACCGAACAGGATACCTTCAGACAGATCATATTTTCCATTCAGTATCTCTCCAGGAGAACCACAGGACTTTTCTACGGCAAAATAAGATTACTTCAGTTATTCAGGTGGGATTCAACAAAACTATGAATACCTTTATAAAAAAAGAGGAACATGTCTTACATTAGAAAAGCATCGTGTAATGAACAGCACACTTGTCTGTACAATTCCACAAAGCAATATAAATGCACACTGTATAGAAATAGTGTCAGCTGCAGATTTTATTTGACTACCCTGCTCTTGTAGTCTTGAGACTTAAGGACTTAAGAAAGGCTTTTTTCTCAGGATCAACCATTGTTCCAAGGATTAAATATGTACAGAGTTGCAGTACAACTAATTTCTTCATAGATTTGTGTTCATCTCCTGGCCATTCACAATTTAATTAAAAAAATATTTGACTTTATGAATTTTTGAATATTTTCACCACAATGTTATCAGAGCTTCATGTGGGTCCTAGTGATATATAAAGGGAGTCTGAGAGAATGAATTACAAAATAGTTTCATCTTCTTTCAAAGATCTTCTTTGAAAGAGTGGGAGGGCAGTAATGTGCAGATTAATCTCCAGTTTAAGGGCAGTTCTAACCTACCCCCATCAGAAGAGAGAACAACTCCCTCTTCACCTTGCTGCCACAGTACAGCTGCTGCCATACAGCCACAGTGGTAAATGAAGTAAACCCCCAGCTAGATGTATGGAGCTTTGGACAAACCATTTAAATGTAAAGATAATCTATCCAACTATTTCAGTACCTGTTCTTTATCTGTTTAAAAAAAAAGCCCATCGCTGTTAATAGGGAACGACAGTCCCAATTACTTTATGGGATCTGTTTGGTCTAATGAGAATGAAAAGCGTCTTGGCTGTCTGAATAAAATACTGATGCAATATCGGCTCTCTGTTCTGCCTCTCGGGACTCTCCATCATTAAAGCGTTATGGAAAGCAAAGAAGCAACACTATTCAATGTATGAAGAGAAAGTGTCACAAATGTGCAAGTACTCACTAGTACCTCAATGCATTTAAAAACTACACCCCCCTTGCTAGTCTGGGAAGAGGCAAAATCAAACCGCTCTTATTCCAATGATACGGTTTCCGATGCCTACTGGGATGATCTGCAGGAATTGCCTCTCCTTTTTTTTCCTCACTGTTACTGTGATCATTTGTCTTGGCTGCAATGGTGTCATGTTTTTGCGTCCTTTTATCATTACAAAACCTCTCTAATTATTGGAAACACGTTAACCTGAAGTAAGAACAGATTGCACTCAATTTATCACATATTAACAAAAAAAAATGACAACACAAATTAACCAGTCAGCTTTTGTTCCTTTTCAAGGAAGTATATCTCAAAATGACAAATTACACAGTTGAGGTGCCGTTAGTATATGATGTTTTCCTAATCTAAAAAAAATAAACACTCACTTTCACATGTTAATGTCGGTTGACTCCACTGGCCGTTACTGCAGGAGATTGATGGAGATCCACTCGCTCTTCTATATCCTGGGTTACATTCATACGTAACAGTAGTTCCCTCTGGGAAATCATTTAATAATTGAGACTGGTCATTTAGAACAGCATGCTGTACACTTGGAGGATTACTGCATTGACCTACAAAGAGAAAATGAACTTGGATTAATTTCACTTATGGCTCCAGTTACACTTTGTGTTTGGCTGGAAACCCAAAGGTAGTTAACAATAAAATAAAAAGGGCCAAAGTTGGATATAATATCTTCAGTTTCATGGCTCTGGAGGGATTGTGTGTTTTTTATGGAACCCGGGTGTGGAGAGTACAAATTCCAGGAGTGAATCCTGTCCAGATAGCTGCAGAAAACAGTACAATAAAACCAATAAAAACCAGATAATTTTTTCTAGAAACATGTACCAGATTAATGACACTGTAGCTTAACAATGAGATACAACATCCTCACATGCCTTTTTTGAGGTGTGCATGCACGTAGTGGTGGAGATGCTTGATCTTACAAATTGGAAGTTTTAGTGGTCAAGTTCTCTCCCTTGTACATTTTAATAAAAAACTGAATTCAGCATTAATTTGATAAACTTAGAAGAAAAGAATTTCTCCTCGGGTGAACTCTGTCAAACCCAGCTTTCAATAGCCAAGACAGAGGTATCTTCATTCACCTGCTAGCAAGCTATAGACGCCATAACTGTTATGAGACAAAAGCTGAACTTTTTAGCCTTAATACTAAAAGATATGTTTGGTACAAAGACAACACCGCTCATCATCCAAAGAACACCACACCTACTGTGAAGCATGGTGGTGGCAGTATCATGCTTTGGGGCTGCATCTCTTCAGCTGGGACAGGGGCTCTAGTCAAGATAGATGGGATAATGACTAGCTCCAAATATCAAGATGTTTTGGCACAAACCCAACTGGCCTCTGTCAGAAAGCTAAAGATTAAGAGGAATTTCACCTTCCAACACGATAACGACCCAAACCGCACATCCAAGTCAACCAAAGAATAGCTTCAGAAAAGGAAGATCAAAGTCTTGGAATGGCCCAGTCAGAGCCCAGACCTCAATCCCATAGAAAACCTGTGGAATGACCTAA